TAGATGATCAAGTATATCAATAATTTCGTTATCAATCTCTACACTTTCATTACAAGCTTCTTTAGAGGATATCAACAGCATTAGCCGATCGACTATGTCTGCGTTTGATGTAAAAACTTTAACTCCACCTCCTGTTTTTTTTACACGAATTTATCAAAATTAAAAAATTTCCTTCTAAAACTCCACCCACTACCAAAAGGTTTTGCTCTACTATTTTCTGCTGTTCTTCCAAATATTGAAGCAATAACACCGTTTCTCATTCTTTCATAAAGTGGAATCATATTATTAATCTCTGTAACCGTGTTTAATTCATCTTTAGCAGCAGCTCCATCTCTTATTATCTCATTTAATCTATCGATCAATGTTTGATATTCTCCATCATTCCACTTGTCTATATTATCAATACCCCTTATATTTTCATTCTGTAAAAAATCAACATACTCATTTTCTTCTATCTCATAATTTGCTCTTTTAATAAAATAAAATCTTTGATCTTCAACTTTCATAAACTTTACAGTACCCTCACCAACTCTTTTTTGCTCCTCTTTGATATCTTTTATTTCTCCTGATAGATTTGTTATAATATTTGTTATTCCTTGCGTTGTTAACTCTGCTAATCTTCTCTCATGTTCTAGCGGATTGTTTATCAATCGATCTGTTTCAGCTTGTCTAGCAACAGGATCAGCTATATTTGCTGTAAGTGACTCAGCTAGTTTTCTTTTGTCTTCATCAGATCTAGTAATGATTTTTGCAGCAGCTGCTTCTTGTTGTTCTTTAACAATTCCAACCAAACCTTTTTCTTTCAGTTGTTTCAGTTCTTCTTCTGATAGTGGTTTAGTTTCAGGTTGTTTACCTAATATTGCTTCAGTTATTGGTCTGAAAATCGTAGCTGTTGTTTCTGTAGCAGTCAATTGTCCACGTCGAGCTTCTTCCACCTTTTTCTTAAAAGCCGCTCGAGTTTCGAGAAACTTTTTTAGTAATTCGATTTTCTGTTGATGTTTGTCCATTATTTTTATACGCTTTACAAAATTATATCATAGAAACGTCTCAAGGCAACAACGAAACATCTTGGTTGGATCACGCGCTAGCTTGTCAAATAAAAAGAAACTATATCCATCTTTAGTTGCTCGATGATATAATTCGATAAATTTATCTTTTGTAAAATCACCACATTGTTCGTTTGCAATATTTCTCACATCCACATTATCTAGTCCGGGAAATAATATGAAACAACCCGTATTTCGCCTAATAAACCTATCAACATTATAAAAACCTTGGGCAAGATAAACAGAATTGCATCTTTTATTACGTGATAGTGAAAAATATGATCTAATCTTGTTCATTTCCTCATTGTTTAGCGGAATATCATCAAAGACGATTATCTTATGCTCTGACGAATCGAGTTCATTCACTGGAACAAGTTCTTCTGGTTGTTTTATCAAAAATATATCATCACCAATGCCAAGTTCATCACGAAGTTTATCATTATACTCACTTAGTAACTCGTATTTGTCTTGTTGGGGGTTGATGGTGTAAATATACACCTTATCATAGTTAAAGTTATTATTGAGTAAAAGATTTAATAACAAATTTGTTTTACCAGATCCAGTTCGCCCAACAATAAGATAATGACAGTCTGGAAGTTCATTGCTATGTTTATGCTTCACCAATCGCTCAGTGTCAAAGTTTATTATCTTCGCCATCGTATAATTTTATGTTATATTAAACCAACAATTTTGTGTAGAACGGTATGTATAATGAGCTACTATACAAAATTTGGAACATTAGCAGTAGATTTATTAACAGAAGGTTACCAGGGTGACTTATCCAAGTATGCGACTCTTGATAAGCTCAAAAATGAAATCAACAATTTGTTAAACGTTGCAAGTGTAGATCCAAATGAAGTTGTAGTTTTCCAGGACAAACAAGGACGATTAAAGACGAGTAATGTACAACTATCAGATGTACTAGTACGAAATCCTACTGCAGTTGCTAATAATATTGTTACTTTTAATAATCAAGGTAAGATAGAAGATTCGGGTAGGTCAGTTAACGATTATGTTAGAAAAGCAGGTGATTTATTTACGGGAAACATTGTTATGAACCAGAACAAGATCACATACCTTGGAAACACAACTGAGGATAATGACGCTGCTACTAAGAAATATGTTGATGATCAGGAATCAAAGTACGTGTCGATGCATGGCGGTATAATGCGTGCATTTCTCAACATGAACAATAATGGCATCAATAATCTTAGAACACCAGAATCTGATTTTCATGCTGTAACAAAGAAATATGTTGATGATATCAACAATGAAATTACCAAGTTCAAAACTGATTTTACTAATCACATCACCACGTTTTTAAATTTTCGCAGAAACATAAACAAAACCAATAACGAATTTTTTGGAAGTCCGCCGTCTGTTGATATTACACTCGATAATATTAACACAAAACTCAACGATATTATTAGTGGAATTCCTAGTATTGTTGAGAAAACAAGTATGATTAAAATTCCTCACAAGCAGATTAAAAATATTGTCTATACTGTTGCTTCTGGAATGTCTACTTGGTCGCCGCAAAATAACACTCTCAAACATACTGCAGAGGTCACTGGTGTGTATAGATTGTCCGTGTTGAGCAGTGCAAAGTTTAATATATTTACATTATTTCCATGGCGTCACTCGACTGATAATTTCTCTGGAACCGTGTCTATTGTGTTGAACAAAGATGTTGAAGAAACTTTTATGCTAATAGCAGATGACAAAAAATTAACTGTTGCGTCATATTGGTATTGTCTGGAATTTGTGGCTGAAACACCTCAACTAGTTACTTAATCAAGCCTGAGATTATGTGAACAAATATTATAATGAAAAAAAGTATAGTTGATTTCAATCATATTTCAAAAGATATTCCAGAACAGGATGTTGACGCACTAATACAATACTACAAATATTATCACAAAAAACTTTGGTGCGTAAAAAAATGTTACAAATATTATAACAAAATACTTCGAGTAATATCATATCTACCCTTGTTAATGACTAGTTCTGGCATAATTTCAAGTGGTATATCATTAAACCCGTTTTTGTTAATCATATCCGGTGTTGGTGTTTCTCTTACAGCAGCTTGTAAAAAAGTTGAACCTAAAATTTCGATAAAAAAGCACGGCTGCTTAACATCAATTATAACTTACAAAAAACTACTTGATCAAATAAGATCTTACCTACGAGGAGTAAAATATAGTATGGACGATTTAATACGTGAATTTCGTATTATTGACAACATGTTAACAGATATTATACCCATGAGGATCAGCAAATATGAGAAAGACTATCAAAAGAAGTATGATATAACATAAAATCAATTAGATATATAAATTTTTTTTTATATTATATAATGACCGAATTTTCAAGTGATCTCCATGAAATCCTCCGAGAAGTTCAGATGAAACATGCTGAAAATCTTATGCAATTATATACTTCTCCAGGGTATATACCAGTAGATGATATTGACGTAATAGATCTCCCTGATAAATTTATCAAAAGAGAAAGAGATCTGCTCAACCACTACATCAACGCCAATAAATCACTCATCAAAAGTGAACCAGATGGAGAATATTATCCTTACTTGTACAGCATAACGAGAAAAGCAGCATTAAACAATAATTTTCGCAAAACTCACAAAAAATTTATCAAAAGTGAACCAGATGGTGAATATTACCCGTACGCGTATAACGAACTGATCAACAAAACATTGAAAATCACTGATGATTGAGAATTTGAACCAAAGGTTCTCCAAGCAATTGAAACCACTAGTGGTTTTACGAGTGATCTTTAGGTTTCAGTAACGCCTCAGTAAGTATTTGTTCAACAGATTTCTTCTTTGGTGGAATCGTTAACGATTCCCACGCTAGCGTTTCCATGACAACTTTGTTGTCTGCGCTGATTCTTTCAAGTCGGCTGATTTCTTCATGTTGTTCATTTATCGTTGATGTTAAATCATCTATGATTATTTTATTATCTTCGATGGTGGTATTTAACCTGGCAATGGTCTCTTCAACGTCGCGAACTTCATTTACTGCTTTTTCGTACAGTTGTACGACATGATCTCGCCGTTGTATCTCACACGTCAGTTTGTTGATCAGTTCTTGCCATACATCTAGTTCATTTTTCATTTTGAGAGCTTTGCTGGTTATTTCATCATGCTTGGTCTGTAAACTTTTACACGTTTGCCGTTTTTCTTTTAACTTTTCGTTGATGCTATTTATTTTTTTTGTTAAATTTTGACCCGCTTGAGTACCTGCTAACCCTCCTGGAAATTTTCCATCTCCGGATGCGTCAGTCCATATTTTATACAGCCGGGTAAGTCCGACACATCATTTTGCTTATTCTAGCAAATCACGTAATTAAATTTTACCTGTTACCTAGGTATTTTGCAACAGGTGTTCTATTGTATTTGTTTGGAGGTCTAGAGAGGTTGTTGAGCTCGGATTCTTAGCGCAATTATTGATTGCAACAGGTGTTCTATTACGTTACCTAGGTATTTTGTATTTGTTGAGCTCGGATTCTTAACGCAATTATTGATTGCAATAGGTTTTCTATTACGTTACCTAGGTATTTTGTATTTGTTTGGTGGTCTGGAGGGGGTTGTTGAGCTCGGATTCTTACTTTCATCTACTACTACTACTACTACTACTACTACTACTACTACTACTACTACTACTACTACTAATAATAATAATAATAATAATAATAATAATAATAATAATAATAATAATAATAATAATAATAAGAAGAAGAAGAAGAAGAAGAAGAAGAAGAAGAAGATGATGATGATGATGATGATGATGATGGTGATGATGAAGAAGAAGAAGAAGAAGAAGAATAAAGACGGCATGAAATGTTATTGTATCGTTAATCATCTGTGATACATAATAGACTAGACCCCAATTTGCCTTAAATGTTAAACCAAACTGAAAACTAAACCAAACTGAAAACTAACCCATCCGGTGGCCTAGTGTTTAGAGCGTCCGCCTCGGAAGCGGGAGGTCATGGGTTCGATCCCCGGTCGAGTCATACCAAAGACTTACAAAATGGTACTAACAGCACCCTGTGTTAGGAATGGTCGGCCTGGTGTCAGGATAATGTGATTGGGTGGGACATCATGCTACATGTCTGCGGCATGATGCCCCAGTCCTAGACATCACTATAAACTGCCACACTGCAGACATCGTAGCGATATGACTAAAAAATTGTTAAAGCTACGTTAAAAATTATAAAGACCACACACCAAACATCCAGAAATTTTGTTATCAAAGAATTATCTTCCCTTTCAGTACAATTGTTTTTATCACTTCAACAATCTTATAATCATTCTCATTTCTATATTGTAAAAGTAATCATGAAATCGTATTATCTTTTTACCTCTCATTTTCCGTGTCGTTCTTTGAGACGTGAGTCGTTATCCCTTCTGGGTCCTGACTTGTTCCTGACTTGCATGTGAACTGTCATATGGCACCTAGTTCAGTCTTATCGGAATAAACTCTAGTTTATTCCACTGGGGCGAACTTAGAACCAGTAAGTTCCTACTTCTCTCAGGAAGAAAGATTATCTTTCATATTGGCTGGTGATGATACTCTTCTAGTCACGTGACCATCATGTCGGTTTAACAATAAAAAAAATATGTCACAGGTTACCATGCGCAAAGCAATAAATTTGTTCCAACTCAGATATCCAGCACGCTAGCTGAGCACCCAATCACATAAGCTACATGCAACTATGTATGGTTATAGAAATAGATATAATCCTGGTACTTTAAACCATTTGTAATGTGGCCGTCATTAAGTGCCGATGTAATACACACAGGGTACTTATTTCTTTGTTGGGATGACAGTACAAATATCAATATAAATACGACAACACTAACGTAAAACTCGACATTGGAGTTCTAGCTAATATAAGCGTTTTGACACAATTCATTTTGTGTATGGATACGACAACTTTGATATAAAAATCCCTACTAAATATGATCACCTAATACACCTCTGGTTATATTGCAAACAATGTTCGTAGCATAGCTGTCTACGCAAACGAATGGTGTAATCTATCTATCTATCTATCTATCTATCTATCTATCTATCTATCTATCTATCTATCTATCTATCTATCTATCTATCTATCTATCTATCTATCTATCTATCTATCTATCTATCTATCTATCTATCCATCCATCCATCCATCCATCCATCCATCCATCCATCCATCCATCCATCCATCCATCCATCCATCCATCCATCTCTATCTATCTCCTGGAAAACGTTTGTGTGTGACGGGAAAAATGGTCTTATTGCAGAAGATAACAGTTTTATCATTTTTGCATTTCCTCATATAGTATTGTTTTGAAAGCATTAAAATATAATTTTTAGCAACATAGTGTATGCCAGGGCTATATATTGAACTTTTAAGTATGGTTAAAAATAGTCATTTGCAATTTCGCATTATCAGTTAGTTCATTTGGGGTGAGTTTTGCTTACTTATTTAATACCAAATATTTTAAGTTAACTAGGTTCAATACTTATTGGACAGTTTTTATTCTCGATACAGATTTTTCAACTGTTAAGTCGCTGAATTTATATTGTTTTACGAATATGTAATTATATTGCTTGTGCGTTAGCTTTATATTCGTTTTTTATTTTATTTTTGTCTCATTATATTTTATTGTGGTGATAATTTTCATTGAATTTAAATATATTTTCAAAAATTTCACTTAACCTAATTAGAACGTAATAGTTACTTTATCGTTATTTTTAGCCAACCTTGGTTCGCAAACACGTAAACACCAAGTGGAAATGATACGCTACTCCTAAGGTTATGTCCGGTCCACGTGTTATGAATGTGTAAACAAGTTGTTTTTTATTTTTCATTTCAAGCGTGAGAATCTAATCTTTTAGATAGGGCTATTCGAAGCTACGTTAAAAATTACATTTTTATATTGCGATGTTCCAGTCATCGACTCCCTGTTGGAATTCCATCGAGATTCGAACCCAAATTCAATTAGAAATGTGCAGTGATTGGCCTTATTTATTTCAATTCAGTGATTAAGTTTGGACTAGATTCACAAACTGTAAGTATTATTTCATATGTGTACTGTGTTCTTAGGGAAAATATTATATTGTTAAAATTTACAAAGTTTTCCGACTGCACTCTATTATTTCCTTACTTTTGTACGAACCTACACGTAACAAGAAAAAATTGGGTTTCTTCGTCCTGGGATATAACTAATTCAGAAAATTGCTGTTTTAAATTTTTTTTAAAAAAATTCAACTAGCTTTTAAATCCCACGTACTATTTTACATTTTGTTTGAAATCTTTAGTGAAAACAACAGGCTCTTTCACAATATCATCACATGTAAAGATTTTTATTAATTTTACCGAGGAGAGTTTTGACCTTTTCAAAATGGAAGTCCAGCTAAAACAGTTGGAATTAGAGATAAGACAGGTTAAGTTTCAGATAGAAAAGATACAAATGAAAAGAGAAAGGAAAGTAAGGCAAATGCAGATTCAGAAAGAGAAATATGAAATGCAAATGCAATTTGTAAAATGAAAACTAAACATACACGTACAGATGCAAAAAGAAAAGGATGAAAAGGAATTTCAAATTGAAATGAAAGAATTTGAGCTGGCAAGTGAAAAGCACGATTTCACTTCACGTACAAATTCTAGCTTTGAAATTATAAAGAACGTTAGGTTAGTTTCCCTTTTAACGAAAAGGAAGTAGACAAATATTTTATATATTTTGAAAAAGATGCTGAAAATTTGAAATAGCCAATGAAGCATTGGACTTATTGCAATGTGTACATTTTGGCAAAGCCCGATATATATATATATATATATATATATATATATATATATATATATATATATATATATATATATATATATATATATATATATATATATACATATATATACATATGCATTCCTGTCAGTGCAACAGAGTTCTGAGTATGATTTTGGTTAAAGAGAGCATGTTAGAGGGTTATGCGTTAATCTCAAAAGCTTATGGGTAAAAATTCAGGAACCAAAATAAGAAGCTGGACAGAAGTATTTGCAAGAGAAAAAGAGCAGTTATTTAAGAGATGGTGCATAGCAGAGAAAGTTAAACATGATTATAAAAGTCTCGAACATCTTGTATTACTTGAAGAGTTTAAGAACAATATTCCTAGAGACTATAAATAATTAGTTTGAAGAGCATGAGATCTATAATTTGCAACATTCTGCTCTTGATGCTGACAAGTGTTATTTCACTCGCGACCAACTTCAAATTTGTCTGGGTGGAGTTACGACAATGACTTTGTTTAATGATGCAGTTTGGAAGACGGCATATATTCGGTTACTTTATTTATTGTAGTGTATTTTGGTTGATATATTTAAGCATTGGCAGGAACCAGAACATGAGCATATAATAAAAAGGTTACTGCATTTGTATGGGAAAATATGAACTCGTTTTTGTCAGATGACCTACTGCACGACCTTTGGAGTGCAGTATAACCATTCGTAAAAAATATCGCTCATATTTTCCCATTGAAAAGGAGTAACCTGTAAATGTATGACACTTCACTGATAGTCATGCATATATAAACTCAAAAGTAGAGGTTACACAGCCGGCATGATGTGTATGCACATGTGTTAGATCCCTCCATGGTCTAGGATATATATATATATATATATATATATATATATATATATATATATATATATATATATATATATATATATATATATATATATATATATATATATATATATATATGTATATATATATGTATGTATATATATATGTATATATATATGTATATATATATATATATATATATATATATATATATATATATGTATGTATATATATATATATATATATATATATATATATATATATATATATATATATATATATATATATATATATATATATATATATATATATATATATACATATATTGAACTATTTACGTATTCCAATCAGTAAAACAAATGGTTTGATTCTATGTCGGAGATTTTTAAAAGATACGTTACCAAATTTTGAAAGATCGATTTTGTATGTCAAAGTTATTTCAAAGTATTCAGTTTTTAATGCTATATTTTAATTAATTGGTAACAACAATAAAACGAAAAGAATTGTACACTTGTTACATAATATTTACATTTAGAAAAATGAAATACAAATTAGAAACTCGATCTTACGACTGATAATTTGCCATATGTATAACTATTTTATTTTGATGTACATGACCAGTGCCTACGTTACCATGTAAGTGTATATAAATATATCATTTCACTTTACGTTAATGTTGTTGTTTAGCATTGCATTTGTTTCGCGGGGCCCACGTTGTTGAAACCGTAAGGCATCACAGTCAAGCATCTCTGGTGCTCGGACCATACTTTTCTTATGATTTTGGTTAAAATTTTAACTTGCTTACATTCTCTGTACCCAAAACTGTATTCGAGGAATAACTTCAATTATACGGCAGAGTAAATAATGTATTGCGACACTAACTTTTTGTTGCGATCTTAGGCAAAAGTCACACTCATAGAATAAATGGGATCAAGCTTAGGTCAAAGGTTTTCATTTTCTTTTATTTCCTAAATACTTTGGCGGATATTGTTTATAGTTTAGGATGTATAGATAAACAGAAAACACACTTCATACAGAGACATGCGTAATAGTCTTTTGGATCTGTGGGTTAAGATTACAGTAGTAACCGTTTGGCGTTATGATTTCGTTGAAGTATTTCATGTTTATATATTTCCAAACCATTGTGATTTATACAGGACCCAAGTTGCAGAGTGGTCTAAAGAGCTCGGGTTTAAAAGATCAATAACATCTCAGTGTTTTATTATGGGTTCGAGTATCGGCTTCGAGAACTTGTGCATGTAATAATGCTAGCCAGTGGCGTTCTGTGAATCGTCTGATATTTCAGAGGTTTTTCAGGTCTTTTTTCTCCACCAAATATAAATTCTGCCATGTATAGTCTATTATGTTTAGAAAATTTATTATGCAATGTATCCGTTAACAG